TGATGTCTGTTGGGTTTGGATGATAGGGATACCCTGGATCCACCCCCGGTAAAGTGTCATTGACTGATTGTAGGAATGGAGGAAAGAGGATGTCTTTTGGCACGTCATCATCTATAAACATGGAGTTGTCGTCTTCCTCTTCTGTGAAGAGCTGTTTATGAGTCACGACGTCCCGGTTTCCAATGGTTTTCGATGGTGATGACCCGGCTGTTGGGTTTTGAATAGCTCTTGGAGTTGGGATCAAGGATTCTCGTATGATCCTTGGTTTGGCAATTACCGAGTGTCGGGAGGATGATTGTTGGCTGGTTGCCCCCGATGGCTGCTCCGATGTGATGTTGTCGAACTGAGCTGTCTGATTGGAACCGTTCTGGTCAGGGTTTTGCGTTCCCGATGGGGTTGTGGGCTCGCTCTGTTCTCCCTCTCTCGCTCGTATCCTTTCGTCCACTTTATCCTTGCAGTTGATGATAGCCTCGCGTAGTTCGTCGATCGTCATTTTCTCGAATTTTTCCTTGGAGACCTCGTCCGTGGACCTGATGAGCGGTAAAGAGCGGTCCTCGTATTGGCGCATCTTTTCATTGAATTTTTCGTATGACTCGTGAAGGTTTTTGTTGAATTCCGGTCCTAGGCTAAGCTTCCGTTGTTTGTTCTGGTTCGTGGGAGGCGATGATTCGAATTCTTCATCGGAGCTTTCCTCTTCTGGATGAGTTTCGTTATGGCGTTCCATAATCTCATCGAATTTTTTGAGGCTTTGGTGGATGCTTTTGCAGTTAAAAGAATCTGGAAGAGAATCGGGTTCCTGATCTAGCTCGTCTTCCCAGTCTGTCGGGGGGTCAGCTTCCACGATCATTTGTTGATTTATCAACGGGGTCTGTTTGGAGATAAACACGTCGTCTTCTAGTTCCTCAATTGAATTTCCTTCTAAGGACACTTCCAATTTTGCTTTCTCGAGCGTTCTTGGATCTGGTTCTAGACGAGTATTCATTGGTTCCAATACGTCGTTGTTGGATATGGTTGCTTCAGGTACCTCAATGACGGCTTGAGGCAGTGAAGCTGTGGTTGTCTGAGTCCCTTGAGAAGTCCCTGAAGTTGCTTGACGTCGGGCTCTGGTCGTCGGAGTTGGAGTTGTTTCTTCAAGGGTTTCGACGATTGGTGAAAGACTAGTTGTAGGTGTTGGCGTGGTCTCCTCTGTGGATAGCTGTGCTGTTGGACTAGCTGGGTTACGGTTGGTGTTGCGGCGGTATTCCCTTTTATCTCAATAGTTGATTGGTTTTCCGCTATTGTCAGACGTTTGGGTAGCCCTTCTGAGTCTCATTCTGTCGGCGATGGAGCTCTTGGTATTGATAACGTCAGGTTCACTGTTGATTCTGACCCTGAGGTTAGGGTTCGTGACTGTTCGTGACGGTTTCAGGCATGGTTTGGGAGTAGAGTTCGTGCTGATTGGTAGACACGGTGCGAGAAGTACTGGTTCGGCGGTCTGGTTTTCCAGAGGGTTTTCTGCGAATGCTTCCCCCAGCTGAGCGCCCTTTTGTTTCCTGATCTCCACCTCAAAGGATTAGTCGTTCAGGAACGTCTTCCAATTTACCTGACGGGTAGTGGGGTTGCTTGAATCCATCAGCCAATTTAGAGAGGAGCTATTCGTTACTACGGTGAATGGTACTCCGTAAATGTATGGCCTGAAGTAGTTTAGAGCGTACCCCACTGCTAGGCAATCGATCTCTGCGGGTGTATACCTGGTTTCTGCATCTCTTCTGGAAGCATATAGGATAGGGTGTTCGTCTCCTTCCTCGTCCTTCTGGCTTAAAATTGCTCCAATTCCCTTGAATGTTGCTGAAACATTGACGATGAACGGTTCGCTCATATCAGGGTGAAATAACAGAGAGTCTTCCGTAATTGCCTTCCTCAGATCCTCGAAAGCCTTTTCATGCTCCTCGTCCCACTTGAATTTCGTGTCTTTTCTCAAGGGGTTGGTGAGGCTTTTGGATTTTTCCGCATAGTCCTTTACAAATCTTCGGTAATAATTGCTGAAGCCGAGAAATCTCTGAACCCCATGTTGGTTGGTTGGTGCCGGCATTTCCCTCAAGGCTTTGACTTTCTTTGGGTCTGGGTGAATGCCCTCTTTATCGATGACGTGACCCAGATAGGCAACTTCCCTTCTGAAGAAACTGCACTTGTCTGGTGTCACGTATTCATACGTGTCTCCTTTTAATTAAGAAGTTATCATTAACAACAATGATTATAACAATGATTTATGAGGCGTAGCCATGGCCCATCCCCGAAGACTCCCGATTATTCCCCTTCAAAATAATTACAGATCAAATATTTTAGGAAACCCATTTTCATCAAAATTAACTTGGAAAACAAACATCTAGGAAAAGAACCAAAAACGGGAAATAAATACGTCATTCCAGAACTTAAAAGAACAATACATATTCATCAGGATATTTAATAAACTCCAAACACTTGACGATTGAGTTTCAACATACTTCATATATTATTCTTGATACAATTAGTATTTTACAACATGGAAATAAATAAATTAAAAACAATTAAATCGGCTCAAAAATTAATCTATTACCAGCTCAAGCTGTAAACATGAATCTTCGATAACAATAATTAAGCATAGAGCAGTAAAACATATTCAAAATGGATAAAGTTATCGGACAAGGGAAAAACTATTCAATTAACACTGTCACTTCTACAACGTAATTAAAATGCGATTGAAAACATGGGCAGGGCCCAGATAATTAAAACACAGAAAAGCCTCCAGTTCCAGTCTCTGCAAATATCAGCATGACACCTTCAAATGCTTCAAAATCCTCCGATAATTGCCAATTCCTCTCCCCGCAAGTTGGCCCACCATTGAAAATCTGAAAAACAAGAAATTAATCAATATAGCATAAATTAAACACCTGACAATATTTTCACAGCACCCTCGAATTTTAAATATGCCAAATGCGACAAAATTCATACACGAAAATAATAATTAAATATACGCAAGGTAACAACATTATCCCTCTTAAAATAGACAATAAATAATCAGGGTGAATCATCCCAATGTACCGGCGACACGGAGATGCGAATTTAATTTTAATAATTACTAAGAGACTAATTATATTCAATATATGAGGAAAAAACACTTGAACACTTACATTTTTATAGATTAATCCTTGCACTGCAATGCTCTAATACCAACCCTGCAAGAAAAGAAAAATAGTAATAAAGAAACGAATTAATCATTATATATGAATTTGAGAGGGACAGAAATTAATGAACATGGACCAATTATTATAAGAAAAATAAGGAAATAATCGTCCCAAAATACGCTATTATTAAGCAATAGGAAACAGGCGCATCATAAATTTAATAGATGAAATATTCAAACCAATTAATAGAAAGAAAGAAAGCATGAATTACCACGAGAAATGTCCTTCCAATATATCATTAACACTGCATTACTCCTGTTTCACAGCGTTCAATCCTATACGAATCTGGAAAATAAACAAATGTTATGAACTATTTTGTCAAACACTACATATAAAATACAGAAGAAAATAATATTGAATCACACAGAAAATGTAACCATTAGCCTACCATGGGCAACATAACCACACCTGTCAAATTCGTTCACTGCAACTGCAATACACATATTATGGCTACCCCCCATAGCGAGTGAGCTAGCGACAGCTTTCATGTAGTCAGCTGCGATAGCAGCGTCATCAGACAGGAAAATCTGTAACTAATTTAATATGATGTATAAACACAAATTCAATATAGATATGCAGTACAATGCGAAATAAAATTAATAAAATAATCCAATGGCATGGAAAGGAACAAGCAGAAGAATAAAAAGGATTAATTATGTCAAAGAGACCCGAACAGAAATTATCACCTTAGCATTGCGGTTAGAGGGCTTAAATACAATCACTACATAAATAAATAATTACGGGACCAGAAAGGAGCCCACAGAAGCATATAATTACGGGACCAAAAAGGAGCCTACGAATACAAATACTGATGATTATGAACCAACTGACCTGTAATGTGAAGGCAGGATTAAATCCGCAATAACGAGGAACGATCTCAAAAACATTTATTGAAACTTTGAACTCTAACGCTTCATCAGAAATGCGCATTAAATTATAATAAATAAACATTATTTCAGGCAAGTTTAAGACCTTAAACAGAATCACTTCAATTAATAAATAATATTATTTCAGGCAAGTTTAAGACCTGAAACATAAACATATGCGACAAGGAGAATGTGATAATGGCGAGTTTGGTTATTTAGCCTCAGAAAATAAATACAAGAATGTAGTAGACAAGATATGGCGTAGGAGGGGCGTAACAGAATTTGTCACCTTGGTACGGTTAGTTAATTCCACCTAATGAAAACTACAAATACAAAATACAAATATAAATTCAAATACCGGGACGAGCGTAGCCCGAAAAAAAAAACAATTAAAAATATTAGTCTAATTAACGTGCAATGCCAGGGCAGGGTTAAACAGCGACAACGAGGAAAGTGTCTCCAAAATTATATCAAATCTTTAGAATTCGAGAGTTCATTAGAAGGGAAAGAATTACTAGGATCCCCAAAATCATGTTCAACATTAATACAAATGAATGAAAATACAAGAAAACAGAGCAAAAACGCAGCAAATCAATTGTAATAATTTATTTAGCAAAGAATATTCAGTAAATACAATGTCAAAAATAAACACTAAAAATGTATCGATTTTAACAAACGACATTTCGCATGAGTAAGAGAGAATAATGTGTATAATTACAAAACACTGTCACAATAATTCTAAAGAGCTTAATATTGTTAACAATGTCCATAACAAATACTCCACAGCGAGGAAGCAATCACAGATAATACTTAATGTAATAAAAAAGGACAACAGAGAATCATCTCTCTCACACTCACGTGCTGCGCCTGAAACAGATTGAAGAGGTGGGGCTGTTCTATCCCACCCAGGATACCAGAATCCTATTGGCTCCGTGCCCCTACCATGATGCGTGGACGGACCTGCGCAGCAAGACGGAAAAATCATTTGCAAAATTGTAAAACGAAAAGATCACAGTAGCTCAGAGTCAGCCAAAGTTACCAGTCGAACAGTAGCTCAGAGTCAGCCAAAGTTACCAGTCGAACAGTAGCTCAGAGTCAGCCAAAGTTACCAGTCGAGTAGTTGCTCAGAGACGGTCAAAGCGTACAGTCGCAAATATCAACAATATCAGAATCAGTGAAAACCGTCGATACGCGAGACTTAGAGAAATTTTAAATATATCTCATCAACGGTAATAAGCTTCGATAAGCTTTAAATAAGCCGATTTAAATCATGGGGCCCCTTTGGGGCACCCACTTAACTTCTCAATTTGCAAATCAAATCAATTAATTAATGCGATATCGAACGAATTTCCGCGGGGCATAAAAGATTTGACTCAGAGCATCTTGATCTTTTCGTCCCATTCCAATTGAAATGTCAACTTAATTGATCTATAAACTAATTAAAGCTCAGTGAAATAAATTTAGCGAAATAAAATTGGTGCATTCAATTCAGTGAATAATTGAACCTGAACCTTACCGGACTGCCGATTCCTAAAATTCTTGCGATGATTTATTTGCGGCTTATGGCTGGGGATAAGTTTCTCAAGTTTCGCGGAATCCGTAGACAGATATTATACTAGTCGAGTTAATGGTGATTTGTTTGGCCGCTTTGCCCGCATTGGGGGTAGCTTGGACAAGTCAATCCATCGATTCTCATGTCTAACAGTTCAATTAACACACCCCAAATTAATGAAACTTCAAATTAATTTCAATAGTTTTCCTAAATAAAGTCTTGTGGATCCGGTTATAAACGTTCTAATAATTTTGCCGAGGTTACAAGTGGACCCCCAGTGGCCTTGAAAAGGGCTATTGCCGCTTGGAAACCCCACGAGAATTATTAAAACGCTTCACAGATCTTTCGGTTTTGCTCCAGCCCACTGTTTGTTGCGCCTGATGCGAGAAATTCTTAAAAAAAAAAACCATCGAGTTCATGTAAAGCAAAATTTAATCGAATAACTGTCGAAAAATATTCTATAAATTCAGTGATTCCGCAGAAGTGAAAAATAGTTGAACGAGTCGAAACTATAAATATCTGGAACAATTTTTGGGCCCAACCATTGACGTTGAAATCTGAAATCTCGGACCGACTCGTGGACTTTCATCCAGCCAAGAGGAGGCGATAACGTAGCAGAGGAAAATTTGACGAATTCGTAAAACCAAGTGAGAAAACGTAAGTAAATTGGAAATAACCACCATGACCCGGAGATCGATTGATCCTCCAAATCCTGAATCGAAAAATGAAGAAATCGCGGACGATAAAACGAGGAGTTCCAACCCAACCCAGTAACGGCAAGTCAAGCGACGGTCGACTACCGCTCGGCGGCTATTGCTTTAAGACGGCTTCCCTAAATTCTCGTCAACTTTGTCTCCAACTTCATTAGTAATCTTCCTATGATCCGTAGAAATAAATTTATTATTTTTCACGAAAAATAGGGGGAATACGTAACACTGGTTGAAGAGAGAGTCCACTCTGTCTGAGGCGGTTGAGGAATTTGTTGAGCCGGTTGACATGGTCTTCTTGGGTTTTTGAATAAATGACTATATCGTCCAGGTAGACATATAGTTCAGAGCCCTTTAAAGCTGTGAGGACTTGGTCCATCATCCTTTGAAAAATCGGGGGAGAGTTCTTCAGACCAAATGACATCCTGGTATATTCGTAATGGCCTTCCGGGCCAGTAAAGGCGGTTTTTCCCCGTCTCTCTCGTCCATCTTGATTTGGTGGAATCCACTGGCGAGATCGAATACGCTGAAGAATCTTGCTCCACCCAACTGTGATAAGATCGTAGTAATGTCAGGCAGAGGGTAAGAATCTCCGATAATTTTTTGGTTGAGTTCTCCAAAGTCTATTTACGAGCCTCCAACGTTTTCTTCCTTGGGAATCGCATTTCTTGGGGACGATCCACAATGGTGCGTTATAGGGCGATTCCGAGTACTTGATGATATCTTGTTCCTTCATTGACTTAATTTGTTTACTGATTTCCTCTCAGTGTTGCTGAGGGTATTTGTACTGCCGTCTGAAGATGGGGACCTCGTCCGTCGTTCGGATTTTACATGTAAAATCCTTGACGTGACCCAGGTCATCTCCTGGCAGGTGGAACACATCGGGGAATCGCTCTATCAGTTGGATGACTTGCCTTCGTTCGAATGTTTTGAGGTCCTGTTCAGGCAAAGCTTTCAAAATTTCAGCAACCCTGTTGTCTAGCTATTGTTCCTCGCCGAGGAGTAGACTTAGGTTGCAGGAGGCTATGCAGGTTTCGTCTGGCAGTGGATCCTCTAACGGTGATATTGTGCGTTCGTCGAACGGTTCAAGCTGTTATGGGGCTAGGTGTAGTTGGACCGGTTCCTCTGTAGTGTTGATGACCATGGCTGTGGCTGCGTTGTCTTCCACTTGGACTACTGCTTCTCCCAAGAATAGTCCGTCTGGTGTGTCCACCTTGGGCAGATAGCCTACTCCTACCTCAGCGTTGTCAATTGGAATTTCAATGACCATTCTTGTCCTTGGTGGTATTAAAGTGAAGTCATTAGGCCTATGATATTCGTACCACGGGATGGGCTTACAGGGTCCCTTAATGGTGGTGATGTTCCGCTGTGCATATCGGATGTCGACTTTCTCAGCTATGAGGAATTCTTGATCTAGGATACCGCTTCCATCTACGGGTAATTCCCCGTCTACTATGTGGAATGGGACTTCTGTTCCGAACATAAGCAGATAAATCAGTCCGCAGGTGGGTAGAGCATTTTCGGTTACCCCGAGAAGGAATTTAATTCTGGGAGGTTGAACCTCTGCTGATGGTTTGATGGCCTTTCTCTCGATCAAGTTGATGTGAGCCCCCGTGTCAATCAGAAATCTATGTCTCTTGCTATTCAGCTTCTTGTTGATTCTGACGGTTACTCTGGGTCCACCCTCGGTCACTGATATTCTGCACGTTTCTTCCCGCGTAAGGCGAGGTGGTAGACAAAAGTGGATAGCATGGTTAGGATTTGTGTTAAAACGGACTGTATTGGTGTTGAAGGATATATGGGTTTTAAGTGTGTTAAGGAGTTCATCCCCTAGGATGGCTCCATAACCACCAGGATGGTGAATGATCACATGAAACCGGATCGCCACTTCGGCATGTATTGGGAGCATGATGGTTCCCAAAGAGTCGAACACATGATTAGTTAGCCCAACTATTCTGATGATTTCCGTGGTGTCGATCATGGTGTCCGAGTGCAGTGATTGGAGAGATATCAGATTAACCGAAGCCCGTGTATCGATGAGTGCCGTAATTTCTTCCGATTTCAGATAAGGTCCATGTAAAGCAATTATTGGTCCATCGCCGGGTTCGCAAGCAGCTACCATATAGACCTTTACTGGCGGTGGTGAGTGCTGCACACCGCGTGTAGCGATGGGTTGGTCTGGCTGCTCAGTGCACTCTGCTGGCGAGCCAGGATGCCGTTTAAATTCTGGGCTGTCACGGGCGTGTTCGGCATAGGTGATCTCTCCCTGGCTAAGCCCGTAGGGGCTCCCTCAGGTGCAAAATTCCTACTCCGATCTCTGGAGCGGTCTCTGCGA